GTATGTAGGGTAGCAGTGTTTACCTCCATGGTAAGTAGGTATGTAGGGTAGCAGTGTTTACCTCCATGGTAAGTAGGTATGTAGGGTAGCAGTGTTTACCTCCATGGTAAGTAGGTATGTAGGGTAGCAGTGTTTACCTCCATGGTAGGTATGTATGTAGGGTAGCAGTGTTTACCTCCATGGTAGGTATGTATGTAGGGTAGCAGTGGTTAGGGGTTACTATTTATTATATTTTTGCCAGTGAAATATTGGATTCTATCAACTTGATAAAACTAATATCTTTCACTCTGTGACAAATATCAACAGTAACATTTTCAGTGTGAAAATGTCACTTTTTGGTTTTGACCAATCATAACGGTATCTTCTATTCGCTGCATTCAAAGGCAACGATTTGTTTTGTTTAGTTTCAAATGAAGCAACAGTAGAATAAGTGTTTGTTATAGTAAATGTTTTGTACACACACTTTAGTATTTACATAGATATACAATTAATAACATTTTTATAAGCAATCATACCAGAAATAGCAGAAAACGTCGGAATTATGTTGAGTATTCCATTCAAAATGGCGCGCAGCCTTGTTGTCAAGCGTGACGTCATTAGAATATGGTGCTAATTACTACGCTTCTGATTCACGCCCCTTATTAATGCATTATATTTTCCATGTTTTATGCGTTAAAAATGCGCACTTGGGAAAAATATCAAAATATTAGCCACACTCGTGAAATATATTTGTTATTATTAAAGACCCCATTAAATTCCTCTATATACCTTACCTCCATGGTGTGTACGTAGGTTAACAGTGTGTGTGCGTTACTGGGCTCCAATCTGTAGGCATGATCCAGCAACTTCAATGACTCCTTTATGGCTACAGATAAATAAAGTAATGCTCTGATGGTTTAGTGCACTACCAAATTTATATCACATTTATCATTGAGCATTAGATTAATTTGTTTTAGTTTATTGTCTTGAACGGCAATATTTACACAACCATAACCTAGTAACTGTAATAGATATACCCTCAGGTTTTGCTGTAGAAAATTTCACTGCACCTTTACCAGGTAGATAAAAAGAACTAACCTCCACAGTCTCGCAGGGAGGTCGCCATGAACACCACTGCCGAGATGTCTTCCCAGGCACGTCCAGACACACTGGTACAAATCAGGAGAGTCAATTAAAAAAGTCAGCACATTGGAACAGAACATGGAGTTTGGTTTTAGTAGGTTTAACATCCTATTGACAGCTAAGAACATTTAAGGACATGCAGAACATTGGGAACAAAATATAGAACAATTACAAATAAAACAAAAGGCCCAACGGGCTTTGACAGTAACCTGAGATGTTGTGTTATTTGTTGTTATGATGTATCAAAAAAATACAAAAACACCTTAGGACCTTTCCATCCATGAAGAGTATTTGATTCTATCATTTCGGCCCCCATCCTAGACCCGATGGGTGAATCAGTGTTTGAATGTTCATACCATCAAATTGCAATCACATGGTGATACTGTAGTTCCAACCAAGTTTAAGTTATATCCCTCTCAGATAACAAAACAATATACTTAAAAGTGTTATTTCTCTATATATGAATTACAGTAAACTTGACCCCCTCCCCAGGGGAAAATTGGTGACCATGGGAAAAAACCCCACACTTTTGACAAAGCAATTTTGGACCTTTCCATCTATGAAGAGTATTTGGTTCCAGTATAGCTGCGTCTCGAAAAGAAGATTCTTTTCTTGATTTTTTGTCAATTTGACCTCTTTTGGGCTGCTCCTCAGGCCCTTTGGGGATTAGATCCAAATAATTCACGCTTTTGGTTTGCCTATGAATATGCAACATTCCTGCAAAATTTTATTGAAATTGGACCAGTGGTCTTGGAGAAGAAGTCAAAAATGTAAAAAGTTTACGCATGACACATGATGACGGACGAATATGGATGACAATAGCTCACATGAGAACTAAAAAGGACAATTATAATGATTTAACTAAACAGACTGGGCTAGATAATGACATATAGGAATAAATCAGGGGAGATAATAAGTAACTAACTTGAGCAGATCAGGGGAGATTAATTATGACCATCAGAGACAGATCATTATTATTCCAAAGACTTAACGAAACAGATCAGGGAAGACAATAATGACTTGGGAATACTATTAGCTTCACTTCGTATGAATAACTCAACTAATTAGAGAACTTGTAGTCTCAAGTCCTTCATTTAAATTACTGTCTTTATATGATAAATGATATACACTAAAATCAAGAGCTTAAATCATAATTACCTCTTCAGGACCTCAAGGCCATGCTCGGATTGACACATGGATGCAAACTTCTCCTTTACGTAGCTACTATCTAAACAGATAAAAGCAACATAAATATCACAGGTAACATGTACTCATCATCATTAACAGGTGAATTTACTGACCATTATTTACATATGACCTCTGACCCCTCAATGTAATGCTTGGTAGTTGTAAAACTTCAGTCTGCTGATATTTTTACTTGTTAGCTAAATGACCTCTGACCTTTAAATGTTTATTGTACTTCATAAGAGTATTTGTATGACCTTTGACCCCTAAATACTAATTGTTGGCAGATGTTCAACCTGCGCACCACACCACTGCTAATATGAAATTTGTTTGATATCTGATCCCTCAATGTACATAAAAGGTTGACATAAACTACCAGTTTAAACTTCATTTTACAACATACAAAAAAGTTCACCAAAAAAGATAAAACTTATTTTCCTTGTTTTTTACTTTTTCCTCTCGACATCCTGACCCCATACCTTTGTTATTGGACAGAAGAGTGAGGATCACAGACAGGGTATTCTCCTTCTGACTGGGCTGGGCATACGGGAAGACAAGGGGAGCGAACTCTGCCAGGGCATCCACATTTTTCTCATCCTCTCTCAGCACACCCTGCGTGTGTACAACAGTACATGTTTCCAATTCAATTTCACTTCTAATTTTGAGTTTTCTTTTATCTTTAATGAGGTTATTATCAAGTGTTCAAAGTTTCCAATTTCTCTCTATCCTATAGTTCTTCACCTGTCAAGTTCTGATATACCCATAACCTGTCAATACCTGAGATATACCCTATACATGTAACACCTGTAATTTACCTTAACCAGTCAACACCTGTGATTTATCTTTACTTCACAACACCTGACTTAGTCCATTTACCTGTTAACACCTAAGATATCTCATTTACCTGTCAACACCTAAGATATCCCATTTACCTGTCAACACCTACGATATCCCATTTACCAGACAACACCTAAGATATCTCATTTACCTGACAAAACTTGTGATATCAAATCAACCTGACAACACCTGAATTACAAACTTTATTTATTTTACAACAATTATGATACAAGTTATACAACTTCTATTAATCACTCGGATATTAGCACTCAGGAGGCTTAATGTGGGAGGAAACCGGAGTATCCGGAGGTCGGGAAGGTGACCTCATACCATTTCACGTCCAATAGTGGTAAAAGGTGGGTGCGTTATACACAGCGCCTCCCGAACTCCTGAGATATCCCATTTACCTGTCAACACCCGAGATTTTCCCTTTACCTGTCAACACCTGAGATAGCCAATTTACCTGTCAACAACTGAGATATTCCCTTGACCTGTCAACACCCGAGATATTCCCTTTACCTGTCAACACCCGAGATATTCCCTTTACCTGTCAACACCCAAGATATTCCCTTTACCTGTCAACACCCGAGATATTCCCTTTACCTGTCAACACCTGAGATATCCCATTTACCTGTCAACACCCGAGATATCCCATTTACCTGTCAACACCTGCGATATTCCCTTTACCTGTCAACACCTGAGATATCCCATTTACCTGGCAACACCCGAGATATCCCATTTACCTGTCAACACCTGAGATATTCCCTTTACCTGTCAACACCCGAGATATTCCCTTTACCTGTCAACAACTGAGATATCCAATTTACCTGTCAACACCTGAGATATTCCCTTTACCTGTCAACAACTGAGATATCCCATTTACCTGTCAACACCTGAGATATCCCATTTACCTGTCAACACCTGAGATATTCCCTTTACCTGTCAACACCCGAGATATTCCCTTTACCTGTCAACACCTGAGATAGTCCCTTTACCTGTCAACACCTGAGATATTCCCATTTACCTGTCAACACCTGAGATATTCCCTTTACCTGTCAACACCCAAGATATTCCCTTTACCTGTCAACACCCGAGATATTCCTTTTACCTGTCACCATCTGAGATATCCCATTTACCTGTCAACATCTGAGATATTCCCTTTACCTGTCAACAACCGAGATAGCCCATTTACTTGTCAACACCTGAGATATCCCATTTACCTGTCAACACCTGAGATATCCTCATTACCTGTAATACTGTTATAGCCATATCTTTCTGGTCCTTTTGTAGGTAAGCTCTGGCCAACATCACCTGTTACAAACATTATAGTAAACATTCTAGTAAACATTATAATAAACATTATAATAAACATTGTTAAGATCAGAAAATGTTTGTAAAGCATATGTTTATGCCCCCCTCTCCTGCTATGATGGGAATGGAGTTAAATGCAAAACCTTATACTTAATGGAACTTAAGTTTAACAAAAGTAAGTAAACAAAACATATAAGTTACAGTATCCTATATTAGATATATTGATGTTGTACTCAAGATGTAGCCTAAGGCGTTGTTTACCTATCATGTGTCAGGATTGGAGTTCCGTACCTGACATGTTTACAGATTGAAGTTCAACTGAGTCAATTGTGTCAGGATTGGAGTTCTGACCTGACATGTATACAGATTGGAGTTCCGTACCTGAGTCACTTGTGTAAGGATTGGAGTTCCGACCTGACATGTTTACAGATTGGAGTTCAACTGAGTCAATTGTGTCAGTATTGGAGTTCTGACCTGACATGTATACAGATTGGAGTTCCGTACCTGAGTAACTTGTGTAAGGATTGGAGTTCCGACCTGACATGTTTACAGATTGTAGTTCCGTGCCTGACATGTTTACAGATTGAAGTTCAACTGAGTCAATTGTGTCAGTATTGGAGTTCTGACCTGACATGTATACAGATTGGAGTTCAATTGAGTCAATTGTGTCAGGGTTGGAGTTCCGTACCTGACATGTATACAGACTGGAGTTCAATAGAGTCAATTGTGTAAGGATTGTAGTTCTGACCTGACATGTATACAGATTGGAGTTCAATTGAGTCAATTGTGTCAGGATTGGAGTTCTGACCTGACATGTATACAGACTTGAGTTCAATTGAGATAATTGTGTAAGGATTGGAGTTCCGTACCTGAAATGTAAACAGACTGGAGTTCAATTGAGTCAATTGTGTCAGGATTGGAGTTCCGTACCTGACATGTATACAGACTTGAGTTCAATAGAGTCAATTGTGTAAG